ATGCAACTTTTGTTTTATTTGGACCAAAATATGATTCACGAACAAAATATGCAGATGGGAAGAAGTATCGAGAGTCATAATTCAAGCTATAATCAATCTGAGCTGTAATATTGCCGTACCTAAGTAAATAAATTTTCGTGAGTTTTATTTAATCGAGTTTGATCTCCAATACGTACCTACCAATCATGATTTCCGGCTACAATGTACCAAGGAATCTTGGCTAATCTTCCTTGATATGCATTCTTCCAGACTTTATCCCATTTTGTGTCATAAATACTTGAAACTCCTTCATGATCTCCAACAAATTAATATAAAAATTATCTGTAAAAAAAAAAAAAAATTTAGATATTATTCTTAAGTATTGAATGATAAACAAATCCGTAAATAATACTACTAACCGCCAACGCTTAAGACAAAATTACCATTATATTGTCCACTCCATTTTGTCATTGCTTTGGCAACTTTAGTTTGATTTCCTATCTCCTGTCCCACTTCAACTCCTGCGAAGCCCCAATCACCAAAAGTTAAAAAACTTAATTCTTTGGATTCGTAATTTTCCACAAAAGGTTTATCAATAGGTTCAACCAAGTCATATTGATAAGCATTCGTATTGGTTAATAAAGCGCATGAAATAGCAATAACCACATATAAATATTTCATTTTTTTTTTTTATTTCTCGCGCTTATTTTTTTTTTTTTAGCATTCAATTGATAAAGATAAAAGCCATTATTGAAAAAATGGACGTCTTATATCAATACATTCAGTTAAAAATATTTTCTATATTGAGCTGTTGTACAAACTGAATTCCGACGCAGTGTAACAAAAATTAAATATTTCCAAATTCTTTATTCTTCCTGTGTAAGGGAATTGTGACCGGGAGGCTTACATGAATTATCCCTTTCAAGTTTTAAAAAATTAAAAAAATTTGATTCTCAATTTTTAATATTAGGTATAGATGATTAACTATCACATGCCTTAAAAATCACAATGATGTTTCAATGACATCATTATACGATATTAATAATGTGTACGAGAGATAAATTTTCTTAATACGTTTTAGCAAAAACAAACGAACGCCTTTATGATATTTCTTCCAGATATTGTTTTTTTAATTTTTTTTCATGTTTTTAAATGTCTCTCGAATTTTAACCGCAGTAACAAATTTGACGATTTTCAATTTATTAAATTTGTTTCAACAAATTAGCTCTCCTGTATTAAGATATAATAATAGAACAGTAAAGTTCAATTCGAGTATTATGTTTTACAACGAATTATTTTATATAAATTTATATGGACAAACCTCTCGAGTGCACCCATTGGATCTATGTATAAAAAATAACGAAGGTGCATTTAGAAGTGTGCGTATAGAGATTTTTAATCATTACTCATTTTGAGTATTTATATAATGGCTAAAATTACGATAATTCTATCATCAGAATCCAATTTGTCATCATCTCTAAATGTAAAAATTTATTTATAACGAATAATGGATTCTCTACTTTCCGGAATTCATTCAATTCAATATCAAAAAAAAATTCGATAAAAAACATATTTCAAAATAAAAAAATAATGCACGTGTTATAATTGAAAAAAAAAATGCTAAATAGGATAGATGGCAAATTGCAATATCGAAAATTTGGATTGATTCAAAATATAACCAATGTCAGTGTCAGTTATATATTATTTATTTTATTTGTCCACGTCCGAAGAATATGTCTACTGCGCCTAATTCTTTGTCGATCATCCATGACGTCCAATGATCGAAGGATTTTAGCTATTTACTGACCTCCCTAAATTTTCTCGTTTAATTTCGTTAAAATCGCAGTAATAATTGATATACGCAGTCACGATGACCAATTTCGTTGCACACCGACCGTACGCAGTTTATAATTTGAGTTACAGTAAACTATCAAGATTAATGATCATATTAGAAATTCACTCAATAATTCAGTTTTCACACTTTCAAAATAAATTCATTTTTACAAGTGGCAGAAAATCATTTTATGTTAATAGAAAATTTAATTAATATCGCGTCTTATATGTACAGTAATACAGTAATTAAATAAATAATGAAAAATAGATAAATACGAAAAGTTGATAAAAATGTATAAAAAAAAAACTATAAAAGATAAGCAAAAGTAGATCAAAAAGAATATAAGCTACATAAGTCATTTCTGCGACTAAAACCTTCTTCCAAAATATTTTAGATTTAATTGTGACGTTATTAATTCTTCTAGTCCATCTGATACCGATTCTTTCAAGTTATTCAAATTTGTAAATGTTTACAAGTTTGACTTAACTTGTGTAACATGGCGGAGCTGATGTTTCCACCGGTAAATGCTATATCAATATGCTTATAGCATTGTCCTAGAATAGCTTGAAATCTTTTAATTATATTTTTGATAAACGCAATATAATTATTCTTATATATAATTGTATTTGCTTTAATAGGGACAAAAGAAAAATTAAAATATTAATTAAAATCTTGTATTTCTCTCCATAACTTTCGCACAGAAGCTTCAAACTAAAGACAGCCCACTAAATAAGCACGTAAAAAAAAAAACACACCTTCAAAATATTCAAAATTTTCATTTAAAGAATCAGTAGGGAGTTTTCGAGTCATTTTTTTTTTTATTTTTTTTTAAGAAAAAGAGAGAATTTTTGAAAAAAAAAAAATTAAAAAAAAAGCAATATATAGCAATTATGTTACACTGATTGGAACAGTTCAATAGAAAAGTTCTCCGGCATATTCGCACGATCGACACGCATAGGATAAGGAATTTCTTTGTTCGTTCATTAAAAAGCATATGAATTTGATAATCTTTTTTTTTTTTATTTTGATTGATCGTTGTACAGTACAGCCATAACTATGGGAAAAAGTTGTAGAGTCGGGACATTCAAGTGAGTAACGCTTGAGTGACCCGACTCTACAACTTTTCGTATCACTCGGAAATACTGCGGTTTTCAATATTCAACACATGGATAAAAATTTATCTTCCAATCGAAATGATTTGGATACGAAAAACTAATAATAAACGACAGAATCTCTATTTATGAGAAGATATGGAATGATTGCAAATAACATCAAGAGCTAAAATGCAATTTTTGTTAAAAAATTCCAACGTGATTTTCCTAGCATATTAGAGTATAACGGATTTTTCAATGAACTTTGATGAGATTCAACATTAATGAAAACTTTTATTTGGTGCACCCATATATAATGTGATGTTGACTAATAATATGCTAATACCTAACCCTAACTACCTAACTAATTCTACCGTGACAATAAATATGCGTGACAAATGCACGGGTGCACCGTTTAAATTTTTCCCTTTATTTATTTATTTTTTATTTTTTTTTTTTACAATTTCGAAACCGTATAAATCGGTCGGTCCAAATCGGCCGGTTAACTGATCGGTCAGAAGCCTTTGACCGACCGGTATCGCTCACCATTGACCGAGCATGACTGTGACCATTAGCATCCCTAGTAGTAACAGACGCAAGTTTTCGATCGATGAGAAATGTGGGCGTAACGTACATAATTCCAATTTCATTAGTATAAATAATTATCAATAATGCTAAATTTCCGTAAAGTTATTTACAACCAAACGATTTGCTACCTTCTAGTTTACATCAGTGTTAAACTACCTTTTCAAGGTTCTGATAATGACCATCAAATTTATTTTCCTCATTATGGATTATTTATAGAACTTTCTTTTTGTACGAAGCCAAGTGTACAAATCTTATATTCAGATCCAAAGAATAAATGTACATTTAATTTTCCTACATTCATGGTTTTTAAGCTGATTATAATATTACTCATAGATGTCCAATTACTGTTGTCCGGTCCGGTTAATAACCTGGTTAATTAGTCGGTCCAAAAAGACCAGTCTTTCATCACTAACTTTCCATTTCCATGCAGTCCAATGACTGTCAATTAGCAAATATCGCAAATTTATGGTTAGTATTTTAAATGTAAATTAACGACAAGTCCGATCAAAGCCTAACCATACGTTCAATAACCGTCAATACTAATCTATAACAGTTTAATTTCATTTTTTATATTTTTTATTAGTATTTTATTTTGTATAATATCTTTTCCCTTGAGTTGAAAGATAACACGAGATAGGATTTTAGGATAAACAAAAGTTCAATAAAGGAATTATATCAATTCATTTGCTATTACCTGTTGTCGTATCTTCATATAGGCGTGATTGTGATAAAAGTATTGCGTATAATTCGACATATTGAATTAAATTATTTTCATTTACAGTTACTAAACCAACAACATCAATATCAAAAATAATTGTATTTCTTTTCCTTTAGATTAATAATATAATAGACTTTTTGAACAAAGCTTTTTAGTTTTTACAAAATCTTTTTAGCAACTATTGAAAAATTGAGATAAATGAAAGAATATGATACATACTAATTTAAAATAATGTAAAAATCCCTATCTTATTTCTTTCCAAAAATTCATAAACACATTTTGATATTAATATTTATTTAGATATCTTAACATTTTTCTCAAAGCTTTAAAAACTTAAGCCTAGTAAATTCTTATTCATAAACTTAAATACAAAATTTTGAAGAAAGACATTTTATCTGTTAAAATTACCTTTTAATTGCAAAATGTTAATCAAACTTAGTTACAATAATATGAATTTTCATATTATTAAAATACACTATTTTTAAAAAGAATTTAGTCAAGTTTTTTTAATTTCTTAAGGTTAGACATATTAACTAATGATAATAAATATATATATTCATATTTATGTATAAATGTATATATCAATTTTAATAAATAAATCATAAATTATTCTGAATTTTTTTTTAAAGCTAAATAATTCAAATTAAAAAAGTAAATAATTAGATTATAGATAATTAAAGAAATTCATTAAGCTATTATATGTTTTTTAATAAATATTAAAAAGCATTAATATAAATACAATAATTTGACATATTAATAATAGATTAAATATTAAAAGAACTATAAAACTACTTTAAATAATTAATGAGCATTTTACATTAAATCAAATTTTAAAATATATACTAAATAAAATTAAAGTATCAAGAATAGTTTAATTAATTAAATTTGTATCACAAATTCTTAAAATAAATAATTTTTTTTTTAGCTAACTAATTAAAAGTAATATATATAAAAAATATAATATATAGACAAATAAGTAATTTTATTATTTTTTTAATACAATGCAATAATCTATAATCATTATAACTAATATAATAATATTGTAATTCTTTTCAATTTTTATTAAGTTTTCTAAAATAAGTATTTAAAATTCTTTTAATAATTTTGATAGCTATAAATAAGAAACTTGAATTTATCAGTTTTATTTAATTTTACAAAACTTATACAAGTATTATATTATAATTACTTAATAAAAATTAAGTAAATTAAAAATAGTATATTTTCTATTTATAGTATTTTT